CATGAAATGTCTATATGCAAATTAAGATTGTGATTTGTGCAATTAATGTTTTGAAATAATTTTTGCACGGAAAATGTAGTAGTCAGAATGAGGACCAGTGAGACATTGGAGTGTGGTTCTGAAGTATAAAAAGCAAATTTTAAAGTGCAGTTCGTATTTTTCAGAGTATACTACATTGTACTGTATATATCACTCCTGTTAGAGTGATGGGTGAAGAATTCACATTTTGCTGTGTATGGAAACCAAACAAGACAACATACAAAGAATACAAAGAATTTGGGTTGTCTGTCTAGCATGGGGTCCTTGACTCCTTTAAGGACTATCCCTATGGCATTTTTTTTTCTCCTTTTTCTCTCTCTTTTGTTTACTATGTTGCCATTAAATTGATAAATATAAATATAAATACGAATCAACAGTCTTTTCTTCAAGTTTTTTGTCAAACTTTTATTGCCCCAAATCAAAACAAATCGAACCCTAGCTCACTGGAATTAACGCCAGCGCTACAAAATTGTTTCAACTATATGCTTATAACTTCAAAATCTCATCAAATCTTGACTTACCTCATTAATGTAAATGATGTGGACGGGTATTCTGAAGTTGCTCCCCTCATTAGGCTAAACTTCAGAATACCCGGCCACTCATTTACATTTCATTGAATAAGAATAGCATCTACTGTGTTATGCCTCATTCTTCAAAGCCTCCCGACACATGTAAATGATGTGGACGGGTATTCTGAAGTTGCTCCCACCGTGCAAATTCTCCATCCTGACTACGATCTGAAAACCATGTCCACCTTTCACGGCAGTTTGTGAGGAAAAAGCACGGTGACACCCGATTTTTTTTTCAGGTATTTGCTATGAACAATCTAATAAAGAACATATTTGAAGAATAAAAAAAGTTTGATAGTAGAACATGATTTTTTTTTGGAAAATAGTTCCGTACTTGGCGTATTTGGCCAGGGCGAGGACTTCAAGCTAACCACGGAACTGTCCGAAAAAGTGCAAAATTCCCACAACCGAGCAATCAAAAACAGCTAAAATGAAGCAATACTGCTTATTTTGATAAAAGAACCTTTAATTTCAAAATAGAATTTTGTTCCTTTCAAGTTACCAAGGCTAAATTCTGTAGGAAGGTGATTCGAATTTTTAACGCACAACCAGTAAAAATACGCCATTTTATTAGCCTGCTGACGCGTAAACAAGCACGGTGACCCCATTTTTTTATTACATTTTTTTAATGTTTATATCATGAATGTTAATTATACCAAGTTTCAAAAGAAGTTTGATAGTAGAACAATTTCAAGGGAATTACCTTAAAGCGGACATCCACATCGAGATGTTAGTGACAGCTGTTGTACAAAAGAATCCTCTGACCAATATTCACGACTTATTGCGAGGCTCGCTGCTACTAATTGGCGTCATTTTATTTGCGTAATGTCGAGAATTATTTGTTACAAACTCTAGCAATGATGGGCTCTTGGCATCAAATTGACAGACGTCAAAACAAAGCGACCAAAGATGACCAATACCTCTCTTTTTATCATGGGCTCAGACTCTTTTGTGTAACAGAATTTGACGATATACTTGTGTAACCACAGTTCATGAACCAAATTAGTAGGAAAAGGACGTCCACTGACCTAGACGATAGACAAATTCTTGGTCGAAAGTGCATATTTCGTACTGTCTTCCCTTACCAGATTTCTGTGGGTTTGCATGAAATTTATTCACATGCGTTACTGACCAAGCGTGAGGTCAGGATGGCTGGATATTGGTCGAGTTCTTTTTTTTTTTGTGGAGCATGACAGAGACATCCAACTCATTGTCATGCAGACCTCCGTTAGTTCAGAGCAGGGCCACAATTAGACTTCAACAAAACAAAATCAACAAGGGCAGTTGGATGGGAACGTTTCTGATTATAGGGCACAACAGGAGAGCCACATGGCAGCATACCACTAGAGGGATAAATGTCCACAAATGCCATGACCTAATAAATAATCTACCAAATGATTCTATCCTTTTTCTCCAATAAGTAGTTAATCTTTGAAATACAGTTGGAACAGAAAATCATAACTGTGACTAGTAATAATCCTACAACATACATTGCTTACTTTCTAAGAACTTTCTTTTTTAAACTGTTTATTCTTCATACCAAGATACAGAGTACAATTTATAGGGAAAATACAATCAGCCATATGGAAAGTCAACGAGAGTCATAGACCCCATATGAGGCACACTGCCAAGAATTATGTTTACAGTATTCTTGACAAAACACAGAAGAGCTCAGTTAAAAAGAACAACACTTGATTATTTGTGTTAAAAATTACATGTAGCTTGAACACGCAAAGACCCTCTTGTCAACACTGGAAATACTTAGTCCACTTCTTTGGTGCATTTCCTGCATGTTGGTACTACACCGATTATTGACGTTTATAGTAATTAAAATGCAACAGTTTCAAAACCATGGATATGATACAACCCTTAAAGTGTTTGCTTCTAAAACTCTAATTTTGACTACTTGTGAAAAAAATGTCTCAGTACTTTGAAAAGTACCACCCCCGCTTCTTATAACCACAATACCAAAATTTCTAACATTTCTTGATTAGTTTCCGAGTTGCGAGACTTGTGGCCTCTAGCCATCGTTTACTCTGAGAATGGTTAGACTTTCTACTCCTTAGATTTAACAAGAAACTCTCCTAACTGCAGGCGAACCTGTATTGAGCAACACCTTGTATTAACACAGGCGGCCCAAGCGTACTGTACGTGATTTTGGGGTCCAAAGGTCATTAACGGGAATACCTAACATTTTAACATCGAATTTTAAGCGTAGGCGTGGGCCATTAGAAAGAAAAATAAAAAATAGAAAAAATTAACAAAAAATTAAAAAGGATAATAAAAGCGAGGAATAAACCCTGTAAAGTATCCTTCCCATTTTCCCACATTTTCTATGTACAGTTCACTGGTAGCACCACATGCGTTACAGAGAAAGTCGCCAAAACAGCGTTAAAACTACCGTTCGCGACAAATTGTAATTGGCGGAAAATTGTAAGAAGACTTCACACCTTATATTTCTCGCTTTTATTATCCTTCTCAATTTTTTCTTTATTTTTTCTTATAATTTCTCCTTTTTTAACAGCCTACGCTTAGGCTTAAAATTCGATCTTAATGATAGGTATTCCCGTTAGTGACCTTTAGACCCCAAAATCACACACAGTATGCTTGTGCTGCCTGTGATATTAAATGGTAAGTTGTAAGACTCGAATCTGTTTCTCCTTAATCACTGTAACATTCAACTACATTAAGCGGTCACATCTATTCAGTGGTAGCGGTCACCCTTTTCTTAGTCCTGACTGTCTGTTTTTGTTTTCCACCTGTATCGAACAGTCACTTTCAGCGGAACCACTCAAATAAAACTAGGAATAATTTTTCAAGTAACTTGTGAGCCATCTTTCTCTCCCGAAATCAAATTAAGTGGTATTCTTGAGCGATCCTCCGCACATTAAGTTGTCAATTATGGCATGAAGTGGCGTTGTGCAACGTTTTATACAAAACCTCTAGTCTGTGGAACCCGTATTAAGCGACCATTTCCCATGGGGGACCCCTTAATATAGGTTCAAACTGTACTATAACACAATTTGTAGGAGGATTTATAACAGAATTTGGTTTTACATCCACGCAATTATTTCTGGATAGTAACTTTGTAACTTGTCATAACCTGTCTATTTCTAAAGGAGAGTTTTTCTGCTGATGACTACTGAGAATGAAAAAGTTACAAAGTAAGCAATGATTATAATTAAGAAATGGTTACCCTTCAGAAATTGTAGTATCTAATTGTGCTCTTAGACGTTTGGATTCTATGGCCTTCGTCAATAACTTCCATCCTTCTTTTTCCTCATGTTTTTCATCACTATTATCCTCCTCCTCACTAGGCTCTGATTCCTGACAGAATCAAAGGCATTAAAAAAATCAAAATGAATATATAGACAGAAATCCATGGACCAATAAGCAAAATTCACAATTATCATTCACAAGTAAATGATTATAATCAACCGAATGCCTCTGCTATATGATTTGTTGGGCTTACCTAAGGTCATGATAGACAATTATCAAAATTTTAAACATGACTATCATTTCTGGAGAGTGATTCAGATTGTGATGGCAATTCAATTGGTATCTCAGCTATGAGATATTGAGAGAGTTATCAATTTCTGTCAATGGCCAATGAAAGTTGCAAGAAAAAGAATAGTCATGCATACTAATTTTCAACGTCATATTAATAAACAGGAGAGTAACGGTTGCAAAATCCAGAAAGCACATCAGGCTTTATTCCAGAAATTTGACCAAGAGGGTCCAGTAGGCCCCTCCACAAGTTTTATGGGGCCCCTGGGTTAAGGGGGCTCAAGAAAGGGGTACCCCAAAAGGTGTTTGAACATAACTGCAGAGTTAAGGCAACTTGAGATACCATAGTTTACTAGAAAATTGAGATATAGAGAAGCTACATAGTAGCTATCATATCAATCTTGTTGTCAGTCATATTCTTGAGTACTTTATTCCAAAAAAATAAAAAAAAAAAATAAAAAAGATGGTACTTAAGAAAAGTTGATATCCTTGGGCACAATTTTTGCACCCCATTTGATGCTTGGACAGATATCTGATACAGCATTTCTTTTCAAATTTGGGAAGTCCTACAAAGCCACACTGATGTCTCTTAGGAATTCCTTAAAAAATATGCATAGCCTTGAACATCACTGTATAGAAGAAAAATTAAACAGAATATAGGTTACAAACCCACCTCAGAGCACTTCCTTTGCCTGATTTCTCTGTGCCTTCGTGTTTCAAATATTTTCTTCAACTCATCCTGTGTACAGATGATGTCAATAAGATATCGAAAATAAGAGAGATAAAGCATAAAGATAACAATTGCCACAATGTAGCATTAAGGTGGCTGAACACAGTTTTCGCACGTGCTTTTGCTGATGCAATTCAGTGTGCACACAAGGATTGCATAAAACAAACATGCCGTCAATAGAGTGGTCATTTTATTGACTCAACACGTACCCGCTCTATCTGCGCTATTTTCCCCTTTTTTTGTCACAGTGTATTGAGGGCTTCAATCTGTTATTACAAGGATACGTTAGAAAAGTCAATGGTGCAAAGAACCCAGCAATTCTCAGCTTTTTCATCATTACCGAAAGAAACCAGTTAAAAGCAGCACCTGCGTAGTTAGTAAAAAAATTGCAATTGAATAGAAAATTGCTTTCTTAGAAATATGCCTTTTTCTTGAGAACCACTCATTACAATTTCACAGAATCTGGCACAAAAATACTTTGGGAAATAACTGGAGTATTGAAAAAAAATTGATTTTAAACAAAGAAAATCGAGTGTACCTTCTACAAGGGATAATTAAAGATCTCTTTGTTAATTGTTAGCAAAATGGTGTTAACTTGTGAGTGTCATTACAAGCTCGTTGCATGTAAATTATTAAGAAAATCTAATTAATAAATTTTCTACAAAGAAACCAAACCGATTTTAATTGCCTGTTTATATCTTTTCATGTCACCATGGCAATGGCACATACATCAGCTTAACTATCAAAAATACAAAGTTTGTGTTGTTAACTTGCTTGCTGCCAGTTTTGGCGACCGAGAGATCAAGGGTTTTAGAGAAAATGGTGAAAGAAACACAGGTATCAAAAACTGTGTTCAGCCAGCTTAGCAACAGAATGACATTCATATTCACTGAACATCACTATTACTTCAAACTATTAACAATACCAGAATGTTCTCGATAGCCATTCAAATTTAATATATCACAAGTCATTACATGGCAGTTGACACTTTTCTTGTTCACATTCAATTAGTCTACACTGAATAAAATAGAGAACTGTTCACTAATGATAAAATTGTTACTCATGCTCGGAACGAATTTCTCAGTTGACTTCAGTACATGATTGTTTGACCATATATCTGCTTCCCACCATTATAAGTGTTTTCCTTTAATAGTGAAGTTATGATCAAAAATATTTTTGAGAAGAGATCACAATATATCTTGAGTGCAGCCTGGAGAAAGTTGCTTTATTCTGGTTACTTCATCTAAGTCACTAACAGTGGAGCCAGGGATTACTTTGAATCCTTACCTACAATTTTAGCTGTAATAGTCTGGACATCATATCTATCAACTTCGAATTGTTTGATTTTGCTATGGTTTTGTTAAAATGGTATTTTTTTCATTTCTGTCACATTTTGAATAGGGTTTTGTAGTTTAACATAAAATAACAGCTAATGTTTAGTTTGTTTTTTGGTTTGTTTGTAGCTCAGTAGCCCCTCATTTTATGAGAAGCATTGAGCACAAGTAGCTTTTGAGACATTAATTTTCATCACAGTATACTGCAAGGTTCCTTGTCAGGGGATGTCTAGTTACTCAATGAGGCTGAGGGAACATTAACCTGGTTAAACGATCTCCGAACGAAGGCTTACACCCCTTAACAGCAAGGATTATAAGCCTTTGCTTGTAAGCAAGAACAGCTCTTTTGGGAGCCACCAAACTCGCAAAACCAATGCATAATGTACACTCTAGTATGTTTTTATGAAGTTCCTGTTAGTTTGCTGATACAGACTCATTTTCATTTGCATTATGTTTCCAGAAGTTCTTGTAGATAAGCCTTCATTGATAAAAAATGTCTTTCCTCTTCAGCATGGTTTTGTTTATATTCAACACCTATAAAAGCTCAATCTGTAATAAAAATGAAAAGTGAAAAAAACAAAAACCTCAAAGCTACACATTTATCCCACTTTCAGGGATCCAAGATCCAGCTCGCCTCTGACTCACGAAGAAGGACTAGAAATCATTTTGCAATGTTCTCACCACACTCGAGACTCAATACTGTGAACGCCAAGAAGAAAAGGACAGATGATGGTATTTTGTGCAAACCTTGACACCACTTTTCTTTGTTTTGGACCATTAATGCTCAGAAGAAATGTGTTGCAACAATTCAGTCCTCAACGAAGGACATGAACCATTACACTGGGTAGGAGAGCTCACAATTCTTTATTGACTTCATTCTTAGTGTGCGTCAATGTTGGGTTGGTTGCATTGCAACATTTTGCGACACACAAATTCCGTGACATGAATGACAGGAGGGACAGTACTCCAATGTTCTGATTGGTGCAAGCATGCCCCAATATAATTTGGTTATCAACTAAGTTGAAATTGTAAACTGGCCACCGTAAAGAGTTTAATAGTTGACATTTCCAGCGTTAGCCCATCGTCAGAGCAATGTCTACCTAATGGTCTACCTTCTACCCAAGATATTTTACCAAGCTATTAAAAACCAGTGTGTAGCACTTTGTGTAGCTATGGCTACTTGAATGTTGGATAATGTGGCTAAATGTAATTTAGGCAAGGTTAAATTTCGAGCCAATGCAGTCAGCGGTCTCCTCCCTAAGCGTACATGATCTGCGGGGTGACCACAGGGGCCTTTGCTTATTGTGCGACTTACGTTGCATCTCATGCTGGCATTTTGAGCTGATCTTTGCGGCTCTATTGCTTATAGCAAATCTTTGCAGATTCTGACTGCTATGCCTGAAGCGTTCAGGCTCCCGTCCGACCTTTAAGGCACCACTTCCCAAGCTCATCTATTTGTGATGAGTTTAATATTGATAATTCATATTTACAGGAAGACTTGGAGACAGAAGGCTAAAATAACATTCCTACCACTCTTAAATTATTTAAGTCTCTACGATTCCTGATTCTATTTCGTCACCGGTCCACGTCACAGGGGAACCACGTGAGATATGCGTGCGCACCTTCGCGTTCAGTTGCTTGTTAACCTTCAAAGCGTTTGGAGCTACGTCGACCACTTTCACTGGAACATTACGAAAAACAAACTATCTGTACTGGAGTCGTTAGTTGTTATAGAATACAACTAAACTTGGACCTGACTGATTCATCCGGATCCAGAACTCAGGGTGACTGCGAGTTGATACCATTCTTGAAAATGGCGGGAAAACGCTCATCCGACAATATGAGTCCGCACAATGCTCGACTCACGGCAGAATCGGAAAAGGAAGACGAAGACACACTCCTTCGTGACGATGATGTGAACAACTCAGTTCTAAGGACAATTTCTGTCGCTTCAGCAAAAGCCAACGACTCGTTGGAATCGACACTGTTGAAGCTCAATGACAACATGTTGTCAGTATCTCAGTCAATGAGTTCGATGCAAGAAACCCTTGCTCGATTTGCCGATGGCCAGAGACACTCGAAAAGGCCAAGAGTTGATGTATTATCTGACTCAGACACCGACTCTAATAATGACGCTTCTGAATCAGACAGTGACACACTGCTTAAAAAAGGAGAAAAGACTTACCCGACACGGGAGTCGAAAGATGATTTGCTCGACACGATCGCAAACGATCTGAATGCTGACGAGCAAACCGACCAAGATGTTTCGGACAAGCTCGCCAAACTCGTCAATAAGAGATGGTCGGAGAAACTAACTTCCGATAAACTCTCAGAGAAATTAAAGAAACATTCCCGACCCGGGAACCTTGGGAGCCTTGACAGAGTAATGTTTATCGTAAACGATTTGTTAAAAACTACCAAACCCGGTAAAGAATGTACTAAGGTAGAATTTCTGTCCTTCGATGAAGACCCTCGAATCTGTGTGGTGAGGTATCTATCAGAATATCTGAAGAGGACCCAGAACCTGAGGCACGATCACCATAAGTTACTTGTTAGTTATCAGAAACCACACAGGCCAGTTTCCAAGGACACTGTTAGTAGATGGTTGAAGATGGAATTGAAGCTTGCTGGCATCGATACTTCCACCTTTAGTGCCCACAGCACAAGGGCTGCATCAACCTCAGCTGCAAAAGCCCAGAAACTCTCAATTACCACCATCATGGCTAGTGCTGGGTGGTCATCTGAAAATACCTTCACAAAATATTACAACAAAACAATTTCCAAACCTATAGACAACTTTGGAAAACAACTACTCTATGCTTTGCAAAAATAGACAGTTATCCCCTGCTACACACCTTAAATTCAAACGCTACTTGATTCAAACGGCTGTTAGAGAGTATTACTATTACAGGAATCATTGTTCATGTTCACAACCAGATTGTTCATAACACAATGTGAAAAATTAAATTCTGGTTTGTTGTTGTTATATTTATGGTCGACTTACTCTTACGGTCACATGCTTTCAAGTCTCACGTGGTTCCCCTGTGACGTGGACCGGTGACGAAATAGAATTGAGAAATTAAACGAGACTTACCTGTAAGTTGAAGTTTGATTGAGATTCTATGAGTCACCGGTCTGGAACAGGGGAGTCACGTGCCCACCCTGTCATAACACATATTATAATACATGCTTGTACCAAGGGAATGGGTTATTATGTGCCCACCCTGCTCTTTTGTTTATGTGACCGGTATGTTATTTTCTTTGAAGTCTGAATGCGAAGGTGCGCACGCATATCTCACGTGACTCCCCTGTTCCAGACCGGTGACTCATAGAATCTCAATCAAACTTCAACTTACAGGTAAGTCTCGTTTAATTTCTCAATTAATCACGAAAAGTCAGTATTGCAACCATTTCAGAAACTGTCATTTCTTGGTTTCATCTTAGACTCTGTCAACATGAAGATATTTCTCACAACAGAAAAAAATTAAAAAATAATTTTGGCCTGCAAGCAACTACTGAAGGAAAGCTTAATTTCCATTAAAGAAGTGGCACTAGTCATTGGGCTCTTGGTATCCACAGTCTGCCTGCCATCAAGCATAGACCCCTTTTTTTTAAAGAAGCCTTGAAAATGACAAAAATACAACCTTAAAACAAAATAAAGGCAATTGTCAAGCA